TCTCATGGAAAGCAGCCCTCCAGTCCATACCCTGAAGTTCTGTGGCTCCTCTTGGTCATCCCAGTTAAGCAGCCTGTCTCAGGCACTGCTGCGCTGGTTAGCCAAGTCTGGAAGTGGTGTCACTTGGGAGAACCCTCTCCAGGAAAATATCCTGCAGTGGGATCTAGCCAATTTCCTTCTCCTGTCTCAGTATCTGCCTGACATCACAGTGGTAGCACAGACATCTGTCTGAGAGCACAGCCAGCTAATCCAAAGCCCCCCACGGCCATGACTGCCAACACACTGGGAGCAGAACATCCATTGGTATAAATGATGGTCCAGATCAAGAGGCTCTGAAATGCACCCTTCATGCTGCCTGACAGTGGTCTGAAAAACAGGAAAACTGAGAGGGGCAGAATCTCTCAACCAGGTACACACAGAGAGACCAAATGGGAACAGAAATTAAGCTAGCCCCTAGAACTATGACAACTGTGTAATTAAGGCTATGATGCTGTCACAATAATGTTTAGCAGAAGTCACAGACAGGCATAGGGAGAGGGAGCAATATTTAAAGAAACACCTGCACAGTGAACTTCTGACTGTATCATCCTACTGGAAGTATTGGCTCGTGGGATCTGCAGTATGGAGAGATTGTGCCTCTCTTCTTTCCTGTTGGTCACTATCTCTAGAACACCTACATCTCCCATGACCTTAGGCAGTCTACTTGTTGACCAAATGGCAGAATGCCTCATGAAAAGTCACAGAGGTTCTTTACATTCATAGGCTAGGTGACTTCCATGATGGCCATAGCAAAATCTTAGCCATACTATAACTCATGATGGGTATTATTAACCATAACATTCTGGGGGTTTTTTCCCCTTCCATCAACTAGCAGCTCTTTACTTCAGGCTGAAATGCATTTTATTCTGCCAGCTGATATTTGTTTCATGTTCACTTCCCTGGTGTGAGATCCAGAAGAGATGGAGTTTTAGCTTTAAGTCTATTGGGTGGGTTTTTTTTTTGGTGGCTGCTCTCACCAAAATTCAAGTTGATTAAAGCAGCAGTTAGGAAAGCCATGCCTTTAGAAACAAAGAGTTGATTAGAATAATCCAACTGTTCCTAATGAACTTTCACTGCCTTTGCTTTGAGCTATACGCTGTTCAGGAAGCAGGAGATGATAGATAGCGCTCTTAGTCATGACACAGTCCATGTAGAGAAGAGGTAAGAAATACCAAGTTTTTGAACTCCATGGTCAACCATGCAAAGTCATACACCTACAAATAGGTATGGTGTACCCTGCTGAGTCTTGAGGGAGAGACTGATGCACACAGATAGGGTGCTTAGACTCCAATAAACCTTAGAAAAATTGCATGCTATAGTGTTGTGTATCCTGACTGCTCCGCTGTTCTTCTGCAGGTCTTCAAGTAGTGGACCTGGGACAAGTGGTCCTAGCAAGCTGCTGGCTGACATTTATGGGGGAGTCCTGGATATATAAAGATACCCTCTTGCAGTGGCCCCTACCTATCAGCTGTAATCTGAGGCCCTAAGAATCCCCCCCCCCCACACACACACTTTCCCCAGACCTGCTCCAGTTGCTACCCAGGAAAGGGATGCCTTCCTTAGGCCAGCTCCACACTCTGATTCCTGGAATGCAGAGTCCTGCACATTCATGCAGGGTGATATCCAGTGAGGGGTGGCAGAGAGGTTAATGTATCATCACAGATCAAGAGCCTGGTCAGGACTCACACTAGGGGTTACCCACTTTCAACCCAGCAGTAGATGGGGACATGGTCCTTCAGCCTGAAGAATCAAAGGTGGTCAGACAGGACCCTACCACAAGGAATGCTCTTGCATATCATTGGCTATAGAAACTGGAATGCCTTAACTGTGCTAACCTGATGGGTCACCTAGGCACAAACAGAGAACATTTGACCTTCTTTGACCTTGGAGTCATGTGTGACTGGGAGTGCATTAGGAGGCAGAAGAAGATTTGTCCAGAGGCCATGAAACAGATTTATAAAACAAAGGAAATGTCCAGACAAAATTGCTGTTAAGAACAAGAATCCATAGTAGTAATTGATGGATAAGAACCACGTTATAACGGACACAGCAGTTAAAAATCCATAGAAGATATACAAAACCAGGCTTCAGAAATCTAGTAAATTTGATTTTAAAGAAAGAAAAGCCTTTGGGAGAATGGAAATTAACTGTAAGGTGATGATGCCCGGAGCCAGGAGCCCAGACGCAACTGAGTCCACCCTTCTCTCAGCTGCACCTGTGAATGCTGACTTGAGTTGTACTGCAGTTGTGCAATTTCCTACCAAGGCCTCCAAAGAGGACACACTTCACCAATGACTGCTAATCACAGAGCGAAGGCTGCCATTCTTCAGTACTGTGCCATCTGCTACCAATTATACTAGTCTCCAGAAACGGAGAACGAATGTATCTGGGATATATAAACCACATAGGCCCAGAGCACAAAATTACAGCACTTACATAAGGAGAGCAAAGGTCAGAGCAGTGAGGAAGTGTAACACTTACAATCCGCTTCCTCTATCTGTGCCTCACGTTTTCTCTGGAGGGCATTTTGAAAGGGGCCACCTGCAAGCCAGACCCCACAGCGCTAGGACCACTGAGTTCTTGCTCTTGGTCTCCTCCTCCCACCACACACTGCATGCCCCATGGGCAGGATTCACACCCTCTGTTCTACCCCCCACCCAACACGATCTATGTCCTGAGGATCCAGTGCCAGACCTCATACGCTCAGCCCACCCCAGCTTTCCAGCAGGCCCATTTGTTTGTTACACATTGGCTAGGTGGGCCTAAGGCCACCAGGCCTATTTGTTGCATACAGGCCTATTTGCTACTTTCAAGGAATTGGGGGTCTAGACGCACAAAGAAAAACTGGAAGTCTTCCTTTAAAAGGGAGCCCACTGAGAAAGTAACAACTAATTTCTTGGAACAAATAAAAAAGAAAAAAAGGGAATGAAGTGAGGTCACAGGTTCAAAATAAAGAGATCTGGAAGGGGACACCATGCAGAGCACACTGGCCAGCGCCCACTGCCCCCTGAATGAGTGGAGGGAGCCTGTGAACCATGACCAGTGAAATTCCACCCGAAGACAAAAGTGGAAGAGTGACAGGAAGACAGTCCCCCACTTGCCCCATTCTCCCCAGCCAGAACTTCCTTCCTGGTCTGGTAGTTGGCCAGCTTGGCCAGAGGTTGACCAGGAGGTCCCAGGGCATGGTGGGGCCAAGGACAGGGAGTGAATAACAAAAATGGTGGAGGGAGAAGTGCAGCCAAAACCTCAGCAGGAGGTTCTGGAGGAGTTGAAAGAAGAGCTGCAACCCATTGCACTCGAGGTAGGCATGTGCCAGGATCTCCCTGTTGGAAAAAGGGGCAAGTACCAGGGGTGTCTGTAAAACATACCAGATACATGCCCACGGCGACAGTTCCATGGAGGAGGAGCTGCCAGCTAAGATCCCTGGTAGCAGTGCTATGGTGGGAGTCAGGAACCTCTCAGGAAGGAATTTGCTACTCAGATGTGGAGGAGTGAAATATTCCCTTCCACCTGAGGGTTAAGGTGATTCTCCACACTTTAGGAAAGGGGGACAGGGTACAAGACTAAAGCTATCTTGGGGAGGGAAACTACAGTGGGTAAATAACAAGGTTGAGGAGACTGCTGGACGATGAGGGAGTGCTGAAGGATAAAGGGGCGGAGGAGCCCTCTGAGGTCCCCAGTGGCTCACGGGATCCTGAAAATGGATGGGAGCTGAGGCCTGCCAGGCCTGCATGTTATGCCATAGTTCAACGGGCTTAGCCCCACCAAGAGAGCTTTCAGCTTCCCTTAAGTAGGGACTTAAGCCCACTAGGGAACTATATGCCTCTGCTGTCACTGCACATGCAGCCACAGACTTCCTGGGACAACAGGAACAAGACAGCAGAGGCAGGAGCAAAGGTCACCAGTTAAGGACAACATCTCCCACTCCTTCCCAGATCCCATGAGCCACCAGGGACCTCAGCTGGCAGCTTCTCCTTTGGGGCCATCAGCAGGGTGTGTATCTGGAGTGCTTTACTGCAGCAACCTGCCCTGTCTACCAACAAAACAGGGGGAGACCCTGGCACACACCTACCTCAAATGTGCCAGGCTGCAGCCCCTCCTCAGCCTCCTCTGGACCCTCCTGCCAAGGCTCTGGATGTCCTGCTTTTATTTATGCATATGTCCTGAGCAGCACCCTTTTATTTATGCATATGTCTGTAGCCCCTCCAAGCCCTGGGACCTCCTGGTCAACCTCCTCCTGGGCCTGGCTATATATACCTGACCAGGAAGAAGGCTCTGGCTGGGAGGGTCCCCGGGGACTACGAGGCCATTTTTCTTTCCCGTTTGTTCCCGTCTCTAGGCAGAGTATGACTGGGCAGCATCTGCTGGTCCCTTAGATTTGTTTGAGGGCCAGCGGGTGCTGTCCAGCATGCCCTGCACAGTGACTCCCCTTGGCTCTCTAGCTACGAACCTTTGACCAGCACCCCTGTCCCTGTGTTCATTATTTTCTGTCCCCAACAATCTCTTGTCTCATTTTCTGTAGCCTCCACACCTGAGAGAGGCTACCAGATGACCTGGTGGGCCCAGACCCACGTCCCTCAAGGTGACAAACAGGCCTGGCTCTGGCCAAGCATGAGACCAGGACAGAGGCTCTGGCCAAGGAGGCCTGGAGGAGCGTGAAGCTGCCTTCCTCTTGCTCCTTCACTCACATCCTCGGGCAGCTTCAGCGGTCGGTGCCTGCAGGCTCCCCAGGGTCCTTCTGGGGCGCGGGCGCCGGCTGCATGCTCTGCGCGGCATCTCCCCCCGGCTGCCTTGTTACTCACCCGCCACCTCACTCCCTTCCCTACTTGCTTTTGTATTTGTCCCACAGAGGCTGCAGCCGCCTGTCTGCCCAGGGGCAGCAGGTAGTTTCTTTGGTGGCCCCGGCCAGGCCTGCTCCTAGCCGGCCGGCTGGACCATGCTGCTCGCGCCCGCGCCGTCACCTGTAGGCCAGCGTCATGCACTCGAAGAGCCGCGTGAGGGAGGCGTCAATGCTGAGGGCGCCAGTGCTGCACGGCCCGTAGCGGTAGGTCTGGCACGTGCCCTCGGTCACTGTCAGGAAGTCGTAGGCGGTGACCCGGGCGCGGCCCCGCGGCTCCTTGGGCCCGGGCGCGACTGC